AAACTTCGACCAAACACTTCACAGCTTAACACCCTAATGTGCAATATATATTTTTTCTTATCCTGCTGCGCTTTCGTTTCTTTGTTCATTTTTTTGTTAAGCCAACAACAAATGCTGCCACATACCTATAAACATTCCTACGCACATATGTATGTAGCAAAAAAAAATTAAAAGAATCGACAGCGTATTTTTGTATTTGCATTTGTTCGCTTGTGTGCGTGCCGTGCTGTGTTTGTTTTTGTATTTGTATTCCCGGTGGTGTGGAAGGTGGCTGGTTGACGCAAATAGACAAGAGACAAATACTGACAGCAGACGAACGAATGTTGAACGAAGCAGAAAACACGCCTGCCTGCAACAACAACAACAATAGCGATAGCAGCAAGAGCCGAAACAACAATCATAAAAGTCGCGAATGCGCAACGCTCATGACGATGGCGCTGTTGCTGCTGTTAGTGCCACAGAGGAGCCGCCCACCCACTCTCGCGTTCATAAGCTAACGTACGTACACACACTTACTTATTTAAACAGTTCTCTGTAGGTAAAATCAACTACAAATGAGGGGGCAAAAAGCTATTAAAAACGAAAGGTAAAAATTTCCCTTAAAAATATATCACAAAAAAATTTAAATTCTATTTAATAATAAATAATAAATAAAAAAATAAACTAAAAAATATGGCTGCCTTGAAAACAAAAGCTATTAATAACGAAAGGTAAAAATTTTTCTTAGAAAACCTATTGCAAACAAAAAAATTTAAATAAAATAAATAAATACATCAAAAGTATATAGCAGCCTTAAAATCAAAAAATATTAAAAACAAAAAAAAACTTTGATGAGAAATAAACTTTCAAAAATATATCACATAAGTTAAATATGAAAAGTAAAAATATGGCAACTTTATAAACAAAAAAAAAATCTCAAAACAAAACGTAAAAATTTCGCTTGAAAATATTTCACAAAAAAAAAAATAAATAAAAAAAAAACTTTAAAACTAGGGCAACCTTAAAAACAAAAGGTAAAAATTCTGCTTCAAAAAACTATCGCAAAAACAAAAAAAAAATATATGGCAACCTTAAACAAAAAAATATTTAAAACTAAAATACAACTTTCATGAGGAATAAACTTTAAAATTATATCACAAAAGTTAAATATAAAATATATGGCAACTTTAAATATAAAAATATTCAAAGCGAAAGATAAAAATTTCGCTTAAAAAGTAGATAACAAGCTCCAAAAAAAGATAAGAATAAAAGAAAAAAGAAATATTAACAAAAAATATGGCAATTTTAAAAAACAAAAACTATTAAAAAAATTTGCGAAAAATTCCAACTAGTGTGTGAAAAGCATAAATAAAGCAAAAAGCAAAACATTTCGTAATGCTATTGTCTTCCCAAAGCCACTTACCGCCCCACAGCTCAGCAAATCATCCTCACTTGGTCGCCGTCAAGTTTTCTACGCTACTTCGCCAATAACTCAATGTTTTTTTTTTGCAATTCATTACATTTTCTTTTATTTTACTTGCCGTTGCCACCTTTTCTTATTTTTAATGCTTCTTTTTAAAAATTTGTATGCCTCTTTGATCTTTGGCTTATTACCGTGTCATGTTAAGCATTGAAAACTTGGCGAAACAAAAACTGGCGCAGTAAAGAAGACAAAATAAAACTAAACGGCAACAACAACAACACTAACAAATATGCATATATGCATGAAGAATCGCGACAAGCGCGCCTGGACAGCGCAGCGTTGAAGCATCCTTTAGAGATAAAAGTTGCAAAAATAAAAAATAAAAACAACAAAAATATACATATGTATATGCATTTGTACATATCTATGTTATATGCAGCGCCAAAAGCTCGAGCAAGTGTATTCGTGACAGTTGTCGACTTCTGCGCCAGCCATAGCTGTAACAACGACAGCGCCAACGGCGACACAGTCAAGTTGCTGTCGCTACAATACGCTCACTCGAAAAGTCAAAGGGGCGGATATTTTTGCCTTACTTTGAATTTTGTTTTTGTTTCTGTTTTTTTCTTATTCTTTTCCATTATTTTGTTTTTTGATTTGCTCGAGTTCAGTTTGTTGGGGCATAACACTGGCGTAACCAACAAAAAGCAACAAAAATAAATGCAAGAAAAATATACGTAGTTGAGAACTTCTATGTTACTCTTACACTTTCATGCGACAGAGGCGGCGCATTGAAATTTTTTTAAAAAGTTTATATAGGAGTGTACATACATATGTCTCTTGATATATCGCATTGAACAATCATGTCAAGCAATTTTAAAAAACAATAACATTTTGAATATTTTTTTTTCAATTTAGATTTTTTTTTCTGAACATGTATACATGTTTACAACTGTATATTAAAAATGCATTTCAGAGCGCTCCACAGCATCTTTAAAAGAATGTTAATAAAAAATATAAACAAAAATTATATATTTCGATGTTTAAATACTTCTCATTACCTATTTCTGAAATGTCTCGGTAAATATAATAATATATTGGATTCAGTAAAACGAAATTCATTATTTTTCTAATAGATGGCTTTAGTAATCTGCATCTCGCGTTGTATCAATGCGACCGGGTTGCTGTATATATGAAGAAGAAAGATATGATAAGATATAAGATTGTACCTTCTCTGGCATTTCTGTGATTCTTGACTCAGCAAAGATGGACAACAGCAAAGAGAAAATATGACATATTTTGCAGTTTTTCTTCGATAAAGTCGAAAACGCAGGCCAGGGCTAATACTGTAACAACTTATCACTCGCAATTTTGGTTTTGTCGATTCCGTTCCGGTAACTTTGTTTTCAAATATACATCACGCACTTGAAAGCCAATTGTCTTAAATATCGTTAAAACAATGGAAATGGATAATTGGCTTGCATATTTTTATGCATTCGCCTTATAGTTTGGACTTGGCACAAAGTATTGTAATTATATCTCTTTATGTCTATGGCGAATAATTTTGCTGATAAAAAATTCGCTTCTGGAGAAGCTTGAGAAAACCGACTGTCCCAGTTTTTTTGAGTGACATTGTGAAATTACCTTCAAAATACCAACAAGCATATTTCATCTAATTGGATTATTCTAACTATGCTGAATAAAACCATTTTAAGGCAAAAATAATGAATTTATTTTCTCCTAGGCCTGATTTATTTAACATTTAGACAAATTGATTCATCATTTTTAAAAGCATATGGAACATTCCAGCAAACATAAAGTCTGGAATATTTTTTTTTTACTTTTAGAAATAAAAAAGTATTTAACAAAATCGAAAACAACATTTTAATTTTTTTAAATAATAATTTTTAATCAAGCGTTTTAATAGAACACCTGATTTTATATTTAATTGTATTCTTTATCTATTTAACTGCTAAATGGCGTGCAAAAATTATATTTTATCAGACCCGCCGTGATCCTATTCATTTTAATAGACACGACACCACTGATGACTGCCTTGGAGCATTACGAAGAGTAACCAGCGAGCTAACCGACACGAATGACAGTGCGCAGCGTATTTGACATTTTACCTTGGAAAATGACTATGAAAGTACCAACCGCAGCAACAATATAAAAAAAATTACAACAATAAAAAACACGCACAACAACAAAAACTGCCAACTACACAGCTAACAAAAATAAGCGTATAGCTACAGAAACAACAAAAGGCGATAGTTGATAAGCCGAAGTTGAGCTTACAATAAAACACAAACATATACAACAATTACAACAACAACGACATATGTAAATACAACAGCAACCAGTTGAGAAACATAAAAGCAGAGCAAAGCGAAAACAAACGCAAAGTAAATAAAAGAAACGAAAAACAACAAAGGCAAAAACTTGTTGTACAAGGAAGAAAAAGCACACAGCCAACAGCAGTCAACTACAATAACAATGGCAAAAAGCCGACAACAACAGCAACAACATAGGCGTGTGGTAGCGCCTGTCGACAATAAGAAGCCCAAAGAGCAAAATGTCACTTTGAAAAATGCCATTGGTTCGACAAACTTCTCCGACAAGACACAGCGCACATACACACCTACCCATACACACTCGCTGGCATACACTGAAACCCAAACGTACCAAAATAAAAATTGAAGAAAAAAACGCTTGCTGAGTGCCAGCGCGTACTTCGTGCCGCCTTTTATCGCTTTCGCTGAGCGTAACTAGTTGCTTAGCAACGCCCTCTTACCACACAAAACGCCGCTACTCATTGCTGTACGCTCTTCAAGTCACTTTGCGTTTACTACACTCACGGTGTGCGGTTGTTGTATTTGCACATTGTTGTTCCTTTTGGCTAGCGGCGACGGGGCTGTCGTTAGCACTCGCGCTCTATGCCAGCAACACACATCCCAGAAGTGTCAGCAACAGACTCCATTGCGATTTTTGTGTGAGCGAGTGGGCGATAGTGTCTGCTGAGCACAATACAGTGTTGCGCCGCTTACACGCAAGTAGCGCGCTTCTTACTATAAATAGCTTAAGAGCGCGCACGACTTATAATTGAGCACTGCACCAGGCACTCATCTGTTAACGCAGGGGAAATATTTACCTGCCTTGGTGCACTCTCTCTTGGGCGCATGTTAACGAATACGCCCAATTTCCAAGGAGCGAGTGAGCGCGTGTCTGTTTGAGCGAGTGCACGGCCTGTTAGCCGCTCAGAGAGCGCGCGATGTTCGTACTTTTGTTGCGTTTTGGGGTGGCGCGACCGAGCCAGCGCTTGTGTGTGTGTGCGGTTGTGCGTGATTGAAGAGGCTGGCAAACCGGTTGCGCGTTGTTGCTCTGCGCTGGCAGCAGCAGCTGTTCGCGTGTTGTTTATATATACAACATTAATAAATATGTATGTATGTATTTAGGAAATTTTCTTATTGCTTACTGGCCGCTAGTGGTTGGTGCGCTCCGCTCGCCATACTGTTGAATTGCTAGGGCGTGTGTGTGTGTTTGTTTGTGTGCTACTGTCAGCGCATCGTGCCTGATTCGGTCGGTGGTCGTGGCTGTGCCCGTCGTCGTCGCCGCCGCCGCCGTTGAGTGCGCTCCGCGCGGCATACGCTTCAGTTTCTTCTCGACGTTCGCGTTGTACGCTCGTTGGTTTGGTTTAGTGTCTGTTCAATACGGATTATTTACGTGCGCTAAACGATTTCAGTCAAACGGTACGTTCCGCCGCGCAACAAATACATATAGAGCGTGAAGCCTTTTTTGGAATATTACGCGCGCGTTTCGTATTCAAGCAGCAAAAAGTGACTCGCGAATAATAAAAATTAACGCAAATAAAATATTAAAATTTCTAAGCGAAAAGCAGTTGGTTTTGCTCACATTGTGGGCTGGCGCTGCGCCAAAAAAGAGCTGTCAATGTTACTGTTAGCCGCCTCTGACAGTTGACACATTATCTGCAGGTGATATCGCGCGCTGTGCGCTTCAAGTGACGAAGATTGTTTAACAAAAGGTGCCGAAAAATTTACGAAAAAGTGTTGCAGCTACCCAATAAGATTGGCATGAAGGCTGAGAATATCTCAAAGCTTTGATGTGACAGCGCGTGAACACTAACAACTGCACATAACTGTCAATAATAAATTATAGTAAAGTTATATGCTGACAGTTCAAAGCACAAATATTTTCAACATTAAAAAAAATGTAGAAACGCAGTTTATAATTCCTTCACAGAACTACCTTGCAACCAATAAGCCGCTTTTTATCGCGACCAGCGCTAACTATTTTTAAGACTTATCAGCATATGCGCGCACGCCTACAATCGCGGCGCGTCCATCACAACTGTCAAGTGCCAAAAGTGAATTTCACACCGACAAAAGGCTCGAAGCCTTGCGAAGATAAGACAACCGCGATACCGGGAAACATCAACACTGCATACGCAGCAACTGGCGCACACGATAACAGCCTGCCTGCCTGTCTATCACGTCCGCCTTGAGCCTTTGCTTCCGCGTCTATATAGGTGCGTGTATGTAGAGCGGCGCGTGGACGAAAGTGCAAGTGTATCCAGTGAAATTAACTAAAGTGTCTGTGCGCGCGTGCGTGCGGCTGTTTGTGTGTGATTGCGCGCGTTCAGGCGGTCGTAAAAAGGCCTGCAGCAGCCAAAAGTCAAGTCATTATTAAACCCTTTTTTCGTGCATATAGAACAGCATCCGCGGCGCCTACGACACCGCCCCGCCTCCTCATGCTCACGCGTACTAATTAACACCATTAAATAAAGCCTTTGTCGTCGTTATTGTCGCCGCAGTCGCGTGTGCTTGTTATTATAATTGTTGGGGTAAAGTAAACATTGCATGTATATATATGTGTGTTTTTAAGTTGCAGTAGCAGCTGTTGCTTCAACACTTCTATTTACACTTGTTACAAGTTGAAGTGTGTCGGTGGTGTGCCGCCGCAAAAAAAAACAAAAATAACAACACACATTCATGGTCAGCGCTGTCAACGAGTTTCGCTTAATTAGCGTATACTTGGCTCATCGCCTAAAAGTAGACTATTAATTGCGTGCATTAGCGCGTCAACCCGAGCGCACGTCCTGCGCGGTTGCATACAGCGTCGACTGTGGCCTCTACAAAATTTACAACAAATTCAAGGCGGCAACAACAACAACGTGCTTCTGTGGCAAATACACTGCTTCTCAGTTGTATATATATGCTTGTGTGTGTGTGTGAGTTTACCTTTGTTCCCAAAGTGTTTCATGTGCATCGCCGTCGGCAACAACAACATAGCCATTTACTTACAGTTAACTAAGTTACAGTGTCGATTACAGCCACAACAGGCGTAACGACAAGAGTGACAAGTGCATTAAGCTTCAACAACAACAACAACGGCATAATAAGTGTCAGCAGTAGCAACAACAAGCAAGTGTAACAAGTATCGCACGGCAAATTTGCCTTGCCACAGCGGCGGCGTGTTAAGCGAAAGCTACAAAATTCTAACCGAATTATCGAAAACGCCCCTTAGGGCTGTCGCGCTGGCGTCATTTCTGGGCGACGGTTTTGCCGCGCTCGGTTCAAGAACACCATCGGTTAAGGATCTAATGGCGTTCGGATCGGTATTACACAATAATCAACATAGTATCGGTGAGTACGAGGAATTTATTAATATTTGTGATATGAAAGCGTGTCTGGTTTATTATATTTAATATAAGTATTAAAACAAATAATAATAATTAATAAAAAGAAAGATCGAAAATAAATAAATTTATGAAGATTATAAAATATATATTTATTGCCACAACAAACATTTTAAGACAATAATTTGAACATATTTACAAAAAAAAAATTTTTCTAAGATTATAAATTGAATATATATAATCCTAGAAAAAGTTTTTTCGTTGGCCAAAAGTCGATCTTAGCTTCAGATTTAATGCAGCTTGCCTTCGGGCAGGAAATACAAATCGCCAAGGTGCACATTTTTGATGAGAAAACTTAAAACAATGTATCAGCCTCACTCAGGCGTGTTATAACATAGTAGAGTCCTGCATATATCGAAAAACTACATGTACTTTCAAATTCTTAGTCGCAGCAGCAAATAAACTAGCATTTATTCAACTTTGCTAAGTTTGATTCTAATTTTTTTTTAATAAATATATAGCAGTTGAACCGCAAGAATTTTTAAATGATCCCTTGATCAAGGATCAAAACAACAGTTTTAGAATGCAAATGGTGTTGTGCGTAACAGTTCAAATAAAATATTTTGCATGCAATTTTTTTACTTACGCTACTTTGCTACTTACGGCGTGTCTTTAAAACTTTTGTAGGTTAGAAAATAAAAAATAGAGCAAATTGCTTCAAATAGATTTTTTGTTATTGCTGCTTTTGTTTACAATTCTCAAAATTCGAAGTTGTTTAAAAAGATACCGCCTGCTTGTTATAAGTGAAATGTGAGGAGCACTACCTCAATTTAATCTTGAGAGGTACTACCAAAAATCTCGATTAACAAAAGAATATGTCCAGAAAATTACGGGAATTTTAAAATTACGTCGCTTTACAAGATAGATGAAAATCGCTGAAAGAGCTAAAGGCTATCCCAAAAATCGAGTTTGATAAGTGTTTCGACGATTGGAAGAAGCGTTGGCATAAGTGCATATAATCCAATGGGGGACTATTTTGAAGGCGACAGCAATTCAGTAGACGAATGAATAAATACTTTTTTTTCAAAAAACATTTTTTTTTCATTTCACTATCATTCGTTAACATTTTTAATTTCATTATCATTTTTAACTTCCGGTTTTTGTAATATTTTAATATGCAACTGGTCGAAATTTTAACTAAAAGCAAAATAGTTTGCAGTTAATTTTTTTTTTCATTTTTATGTCTGAAATAAAGATTCTGTCACAAGTAAAACTGAATACCTATAATGAGAACGATTTTCTTTCCAATATTTCATGCCTAAGCAGTTTTGACAAGACTGGAGAAACTACAATGGAAAGTTATTTAAATGAAAATGCAAAATTTGCCTTACGAATTTAAATAAAATGACCCAATTTTCAATGAAGAATCTGAGCAACGTTTTTCCGACAGATCATAAAAACATACAAAACTGTCCCAAATATTTTTACCAAAAAAAAAAAAATTAATTAAAAAACTGAAAACACACATTGATAAACTTTGTATGAACTATACAAACCAAAAAACATAATAATTTATAAAAAAATCAAAAACAAAAAAAGAATAATAATAATAATACAACGGTAAGCCTGGAAACATGAATATTATTGGAAGCTTCTTCAATGACAATTCTCAATCAAACAAAATTCGCCTTATAAAAAAAACATGTCCCGTTATGTGCAATAAATGCCACAAATAAACTTTGCGCTTGTTGTATTTGCAAATAGACAAAACAACAAAAACCACGTTTATAAAAACTCACAACCAATTACAAAAACAATACTGTGTTATTAAAAAAAAAAAATAAAAAAAACGTGCAGAGCGAAAAAGTTTTTAAGAACAGTTTTTCCAACTTTTGAACTTGGTCCTCGTTTACCAACATTTTTCGTCATTTCGTCCTGCCCGCTGCATGGCGAACATTTTCGAGCAACCAGTGCGGCATAAGCATGTTTGCTGTGGTGTTTTCATGTATATTATTGTGTTTGGGAATTTCTTTGCTTTTGTTTTAATTTTCGGAAAAGACACATGCAACGCTGTTGGTGGTGTAAATTTTGTTTGTTGTTTTTCAAACTTTTTCTTATAAATTTTGTGCGAACTTTTTAGTCGCATATGAAAGTTTTGGGTTAAGCAACAAAAAATAAAAACAAACAACTTTTTTTTTTGTAGAAGTTGGCAAAATATGTTTACTAGATTTGACAATTTATTTGGATTAGTATGGATATATTTCATATTATATGACGAATGTTCTAGTAAATTTTAAGATTTTATCGTGAAAGCTGTTAAAATGTGTGGTTATTTTGAAAAGTGTTTTCAAAAGAAAGAAAAAAATTTATTTGAAATATAAATTTTGTGCTCAACAATACTCATAAATATATAAAAACACCTGTTGGTAAACTTTGGAGTCCAAACATGTATAAAAGTGGTTAAAGTAATTATAGCGAACAATATTTAATCAGTTTTTCTGCTCTTTTAATCTACGCAGAATACAATATTAAATTTATTAATGAAAAAAATTACAAAAAAATACGTGAAAATTAATTCGGCTACGAAGTAATGCTTGATAATATATGAAGAAATTATTTTTGAATATAAATTTTATTTTAAGTTTAGCTCAAGAAAACTGTTTTAAATACCCAAAACTTTATCAAAATCTTAATTAAATATATAATAAATGCAAACTCTATAATTTTATATAATTATTCGAAATAAAGTACATAATATTTAATTTTAAAGAAGTTAAGAAATAAATTTGTGAGTCAATAAAAAATAATCATAAACAATAATAAAGGATAACAAACTAAAAATAGCAACAGCAAAAAAAAAATACGATTTTATAATAATTTAAAAACAAGAATAACGTTGGCAGAAGCTATATTAACCTTGGAAGATGCATTTCTTATAGCTAGCAAGATCGTTATCTTGATTTTGATCGGACAGTATGTATGACAGCTATGAACTACAGTAGTCCGATTCGAACAATCTCTCGGGAGATGGTAGCATTGTCTTGGGCAATAATCGGTGCCAAATTTCGTGAATATATCTGACAAACTAAAAGGTTTGCCAAACAGAAATTTAATTTGGATCGGTCAGATTGTATGACAGCTATATTATATAGTCGTTCGATATGAACAATTTATTTGGAGATTGTAGCGACGTAGAAGAATAAATCCTGCCAAATTTTATGGAAATGTCATGTCAAATAAAAAAGTTTTCATACGGGAACTTAATTCTGATCGGTCAGTTTGTGTGGCAGGTATATGCTATATTGATATGATACGACAGTTCCGACAAATGAACCGCCTTTTAAAGAGAAAAAAAACCTGTGCCAAATTTCAGATCGATATCTCAAAAACTAAGTGACGAATACGCCTATATACAGACAGGCAGACGAACATGGCTAAATCAACTCAGCTCAACACGACGTTTCGTTCTGGATGTTACAAAATTCGTGGCAACCTTAATATGCAGGACATAAATCTGGTACATTAGTAATATTAAAAATATTACCTATTAAGGATCAAATTTAAAGCTTCAAATTAATTTTCTTAATTTACAAAAATATACTGAATATTTATAGATAACTCAAAAATAATATTTTTTAATATTTTAATATAATAAAGTATAAGACGCCAAACGTAATAAAAATTTTTTTTTAAAGTTTCAAGATTGAAGAAATAAAAATTAAACATTAATTAGTTGAATTAAAATAAAAAGACCATTTACTATAAAAACTAATACTTTAAGATTTCTTAAAAAAGATTAAAATAAATATCAAAAAAAAAATTTAATAAATAAAAAAATATATTAATTTAAAAAAAATATGAATTTAAACAAACAAGAAAATTGAAAATTAGAACAGTATTTTAAAATTAACAACTAAATTTTTATAATTTTTTTGATTTATATCATTTAGTTTATTTCTTTCATTTAATGCCTACAAATTATTTTAACGCAACTCGCAGTATTTTCATTTCCTACGCTCGAAAATATTTTTTCAAGAAATTTAAAGATTTATGTCACAAAAAAATGACGTAACTGCAACACTAAGTATTATTATGTAAAATGAGCGTACGATATGCAACTACCTCCTTTCGGCAGTATTTCAGTCTCAACTGCTTTACTACCATTACAACAACAACACTGCTAAAATAGGTGTTAAATGCTGCCAACAGCATGCAGTCACGTGCATGCAACATAAAACCGCAGTGCAACGCTGCGGTGGCAACAAAAATTGTGAACCAAAAAAAAATTATATACAAGCAGTAAGCGGCAGGAGGCACAACAAATACAGGAAACTGAGCAAAGGCAAGCGGACAGGCAGTCAGACATCCAGTCTTCCAGGCATCAGCAGTAAAATCTCTCATTTTTCACTTGAAAAATTGCAAAGGAAATCGACGAAAGGCAACAATTTCATAAGCCGAGCTAATGGCAGCGAAGGAGTTATGGGAAACAGTAGGAAGGGCCATAAAAGTGCAACAGCAAGAACAAATCGAACAAAAACACTGAAAGTAATAACAATGCAAAACGGAGGTTAAGTTGGCGGTGTTGCCACACAATCAACCACCTTCCTTGGAAAGCGCTAGTGTGTACGAGTATATGTGTATGTGTTTGTGTTGCAAGTGGTTGTATTATGAGAAATGTGGGAACTGTGCGTGTTGATGCCACACTGCCGCATCAATTGCAGCAGCTGACGAGCAATGGCCCAATTGATGGGCCGTGACTTTGCAATTTCAACAGCACTCACTCAACAGCAACAATGGTCACTTGCAATTGCTGTAATTGCTGCCACACGTAGCAAATGTGCAGCAAGCAAAAGGGCATTCATTCGATTGTTGTTGCCCCAATAGTGCAAAATATCTATTCAGGGCACATTTCAACTGCTTTTTGTTGCATTGTAGCAAGCATTGCAAGTGGCGAAGGTGGTGTGTGTTGACTCATAATTGTTGCCACATTAAACTAGTTGGCCTGCA